ACACACACACACACACACACACACACATACACACACACACATATACACACACAGACACACACAAATTTTTTTCGACTCTCGCACAGTCAAAGAAAACATATTCATTTGCTCTAACACAGAAAAACTTCGCCAGGCTTTAATTAAAGAGCGTATCAACATTCGTAGCTCGCAGCACTTGAGGTTTCAACTTCACTCTAACTAGAGCCAGAATTCTTGGGGGCATCAGCAGACTGGTGTCCATGGCACTGAAAAGCTTTTTAGGAGAAGTACATTTCTGGGATTCAATGATCATTGTACTCTAACAATGCCCAACTCTAAAATAGATAAAACAAGCCAGATTCATCTCTCTCTACTAAATGTGGGTGTACCAATAGGTAAATAAAGCCAGCCTATCTATCTTTGAGGAAATGTGGGTATACCAAAGGGTAATATACTCGTAAGTCACTGTGTCTCTCTTTGAGGAAATGTAGGTATACCTTACTTAAAATAGGCCAGTTTACCTTTCTTTGACGAATTATGGGTATACCATAGATATAATAAGTGTGTATCTTTCTTTGAGGAAATGTGGGTTGTAGGTTGTAGTAGACAGTTTTAGTTAGAGTTTTATAAAGCTTGCACACAATAAGGTCATGTAAGTGCCGAAGAATAGATGTGTTACAAAAGAGTAATGGACACCAAAAAAAGAGGAGGAGAGATCAGAACGATAGATGTTTTGATAGGAAAGAAGGAGCAAACCACACCAGAGCACATACCAACCACCGACTAATAGTAGTTATTTCTATCTTTCTTTGATTGAATATATAGCAGTAGATAAAATGAGTCAGCTTTTTCTTTCTTCTACGAGCTATAAATATTTCCTCTCAATTATTGGAGTCCAAAATAAGCTAGACAATTGTAAGCCATGCAAACGTTGATAGGCTGAAGGAATGGGCTCTCAGCTTGAGATGAATAGCCAAAATTCGTCGTCGAGCCGTATGCAACATCATTATTTGTTGACAGTTGGTTATATTTATTCTTCGGAAAGTTTCCAGAAAAGCATGGCCTCGAAACGGAAATCAAGAAACAGAGGGAATGAGGGGGAAAAGATATGGGTTCTGAAAGAGTGACAACTTCTGATGATGAAGAGAGGAGGATGCATAACATAGAAGAACAAAATGAGAGAAGGAGGAAGAAATAAAGAGAAAGCAGGGGAGTAAGCTAGTAAGTAAGAGATAATGATAAACTGAGAGAGAAAGAAAGAAAGAAAGAAAAAAAAAGAGAGAGAGAGAGAGAGAGAGAGAAAGAGAGAAACAAAGACAGAGAGAAACACAGAGAAGGTGAGAGAGAGAGAGAAAGAGAGAATGCGAGAGAGATAGAGAGA